AAGCCTGGGCTTGGCTCACCTGCTGGAAAAATGTCAATCCACTAATTGCATGGCCCACATTGTCAGAAAACAGTTCGCGATGAATGAACCAGAGCTAGCCTGTGAAGAGGCAGAGCTTGAGGGCGTTTCATAGCAAACATGCATACCCAAATCAACCATTTAAATTAAGTTTATTGTTTTGCTGAAACTGGAAATTTGCTAAACACCTTGGGGGCATTTTAAACTTCTGCCTAATAATAATGTAATGACGAGTCGGTCCTTATGTGAATGATACTGGATACAAACCAGAGGGGGCATCTTTTATAATGAATCATATTAACAAAACAGAAAATAGGAGATTTGTTTTGTAGCGGGCCTCAACAAGCAATGATAACCTGCTGTGACAGCAGCTTATCTTAGTTAACAGTTATTTGTAATGCAGGTTAACTGTACTGATTGAAGGTTATTTATAATGAGGAGATATTCAACAGTTTTACCTCATACTAGGGAGAAGCACTGTCTTGATGTGGAAGCACTTTCCAAGAAAAGAGTTCTATTTTCAAAAGCTAACATTGCCCTAGAGATAGGATTTGTATTCCATTTGTCTAATGAATGATACTGTGAGGGCAATGGGGGGGGGCGTCATACACATGGCGTCCTGTCATCATGTGCTGAGCATCACACCTCCCACCCTAAGCTGGGCAGAAGCTTCCCAGGCTTTGGGAAGGAGGCACCAGATTTTAATACTTTAACACTCTGATTTACTAGGAACATTTAGGGGACTAGACTAGCCTAGTCCCTCTAGTCCACTGATAGCACACCACTGGTCCAGGATACAGCAAGCAGTTTGGGGGTTCAAAGTAATAGGCAGATATTTTGTTCTATTCCTGTCCAATGCTGGATCCTGCATAAAAGGTTGGAGTACAGGACCACTGATAGTTTTGTAAGCAACCCACTCCAACAAAGGCTGAGAGTTTTTTAAAGCTCTGGCTCTCTCCGACTCCACCCCTTTGTGACTAAGGGCTATGTCCACTTTTCCACTTGTCCTGTGCTTTTTAGGCACAGGCCCGAGTAGCTGTGCTTTCCCCCCTCAGTTTTCCCCTGGAAAACACAATCTTTGTCACTGAATCGGACCAAATGTCAATCCATGGAAAACCCAATTGCCATTTGGTTTGATTCAGCAGTAAACCATAGGTTTCCCTGGAGGAAAGCAGTGGGGCAGACAAAGGTGTGGGCAAATCCTAACTCTAGATTCTTGAAGTACAACCCTGCTGGCCTGTAGACAGGCACTCGTCCTTCATCCCCTAGCTTGCTATCTGGTGTGTTACCTGTGTCACCAGATTGGCAAAGTGCAAAATCCAAAGAACACAGAGTCCCTGCAGACACTTTGCAATGTTTGGCTAGCAGGAACAGGTGACCCCTTGGGCCAATGGAAAAGGTGCCTTAGACTGCAAGCATATCATACTTTTAAAGCACATTTCCTCCCAAATAATCCTAGGGAACTGTTGCTTGTTAAGGGTGCCGGAAACTGTAACTCTGTGAAGGGTAAGCTACAGTTCCCATGATTCAGGGTGGGAAGGGTATGCTCTAAATGTATGGTGTGTGCATAGCCTAAATATCAACGGAGGGAATGTCTGTTATCTTTACTGAGCAGTGGCTCAGTACAGAGCAAAGGACTGACCCCATGAAATAATTTTGTGACATTGTAGAAGGAAATAAGGTGCCTTCCAAGTTCAACAGCACTATCACCAAATACCCTCAGTCATCTATGCCTGTGATATTATCTACCCTGAATCCCCAGAATACAGCAATTTGCCAATCTAAATACAATTAAACAAACGTCAGAAGGAAGTGGTTTCTGTGCTGTCTTCTGTGGCTGTGCTCAGAAAAGGCTTAGGGCTGCTAAGTCAGCAATAACCTTCCTCTCTTCCTCTCTCTCTTTCTCTCTGCAGCTGACAAATGTGTTGTGCTTCTCTGGCCCACTTAGCTACTCTGCCAATTATTAGGAGCTGGTCCGGCTTCAGGCCTTGCCAGATGGACAGATGCCAAGGAGCTTGTGCTGCTTCTAATCCCTTTCCCAAGGGGACTGCAAACCTTAGAATGAGATTCAGCTGCCATTACCACAGCAACCGCTAATTCTGTGAATGGAGTTCGGAGCTTTTGTATCCTGTCACAGACCAGCGAATGCAACAGAGCATCCAGGACTTAGGAGTGCAAGGAGAGGGATAAAAGTCCAAGATGGAGCATGGCAGGCCCAGAAGGAAAGTCCATGGAAGGAATGTGCCAAAACAAAAAATAAAATAAAATAAAATAATTAAAATTAATTTTTTTAAATGGCCAGGGTCTAGGGGATGGTTTCTTGAAGGCTAGGTGAAAACTCTAAAACATTCATAGAACCCAGGTCAAGGAGGGAAAAGGGGATTAGGAAGCTAATCCAGAACTGAAAGGATCTGGGGAAAGGATCAGATACTGATGGAGTGTCTAAGCAGAAGTTCAGCCATGAAATGTGCTTACAGCATTCCATATACACTAACACAATGTGTACATCCACTACATTAAAGGCTGGCCACACAAAGGATTTGTTTCAGCTGACAAAGTCAGTTAATTAAAAAAAAATCCTGTAGCCCTCCTGATTGAAGTTGTCCATTTGTGTTGTACTTATCTTGCTATCAAAATGTTAAAGTGGTGGATGAACCTGAATTAGTTGTATGCAAACAGTGATAAGGAAACTTCTCTGTTCTAATTTTAGATCATGTTCTTCTCATTTAAGATCATATTATCTCACGGAGAGGAAGCATGAAGGCAAACCAGTGGTGACAAGATGTGTGAAAATATAGCTCAAAAATAGGAAGGACTGATTCCAGGATTGGAAGAACAAGCCCTTTAAAAAAACAAAAAACTGAGTGTGGGTGGGTGGGTGGGTTGTAGTGCAGAGCTAGGTGGACTTGGCTTGCTGTATTTTTTCCCCCTAGAACCTCAAGATATCCACTAATAGGAAACTTGTACAAAAGACATAGACTTAATGTTAAGGAATTCTGAAGCCAGCCAGTGGTTTTCATTTCCAGAACTGAATGGAACTCCCAGTCCTTCGGCACCCAAATCCAAGCTTCCTTCATTTCTGCAATATAACTTAGGGTAGGGAGAGGGGATCATGTAGTTGCTGCTTTGTAAAACAATTGCGAGTCAGAAGTCCTTGCTAATCTATTACAAACAACCCAGGTATTTGTCTGATCCAGCAGGGTTCTTCTTATACCTGTAGATCTAGATCTGCACATTGCCTCCACTTGGGTTACAGTATGTCACAGTCTTCTCCCCTGTGGGGCATGTTAGGGTGGGAGTGCTTTCGCCAAGGCCACCCAGGAAGTTTCATGACTGAGTGAGCTTTAAACTCGGTTCTCATGCCATCAAACCCAACACTCTCATAGTGCTGGCTCACAGAGACTTGCATTTAAAAATCTGTTTGGCCTACATCTTTTTGGTGCAAAAGAGTAGGAATGGCTGGCTCTCTCCTGTTAACTCCTTCCACCATCACCTTTTAAGAAGAGGGCAGAAGAGACACTCAGGCATTGAGAAACAGTCTTCGGAGTGACCCTAATCCCAAGCAAGTCTTCAAGCTTTTCCAGGATTTCTGCCTGGCTTTTAGGGGGAGAAAAACACCTCTCTGAGGTTAGGAGCAAACAAATAGCATTTATGAAAGCCACACACATGCAGAGGAGAAATGATGTGTCAAAACTCTCCTCTGCCTTTCAGCCCCCAGCACATTAATATTAGCTTCACATTCAGGCCAAGAGCCCAAACCTTGGCAGGGGATCAAGTCCCGCTCTGATCCAACTCTTGGATAAAGCAACTAACAGGCTGGAGTAATGCCATGAGTACTGATGCAATTTCCCTGGTGTAACCAGATGAGGATCTGGCTTGGACTAGAGTCACTGAACGTGAGCCATGTGTGCAAAGCAGTCACCTCCCTCTCTAGTCTGCTCACACCAGGAAGAAGGAATAACCAAGAGGGAGTTGCTGTTACACAACTGACACAAAACTTTTTCTACAAACATGGGTATGATCAACAGAGAAAGGTACTTTGGGAGGAAAACAATCTTCCAATTGAACCAGAGCTTGGGCAGCAACTTTAATAGCCAAGTTAACAACCCACAGACTCATCACTCTTCAAGGCAGCACCCCAGGGACCAAACTGGGTTCAGGATTTATAAGCCTGAACTCCCACCCCCCAATTACTGCAGTACAATCAAGCTGCTGGTCATATGTACATTAACTCTGGCTCTGGATTTCACAAGATCATGACTCTCACAAATTCCATGTTCATGAGATGCCTAAGGGAGGCGGGGAAGGAGCACAGGCAAATCCTACAAACAGAAAATGGTCTGGTCTCCTTGCTCATTTCCTCGTGCAACAATGACAGTCCATGGAAAGGGATGAGCTGAAACCAATATATTTGGAAATTGGAAGTGAGAGGGAAAGGAATGTTATTCACCAGCTGGCTTCTGAGTCATGCCTCACTTACAAAAGTCGTTCTTAGACCCATCATAATTGTGCAATTTACCCCATCCATCAGCTCAAGTCAGAATGAACAGGACAGACCTCACATGGCAACTGAAAGATCACACTGAGGTCAACATGGTGTATGCATTTAGAGAAAGAAAACTCCATTATTTCCCCATCGCTGAGAAGGCCTCAGGAGGCAGAGGTACCTAGAAATGGACCTTCAGTTAAGTTTTCTGTCAGGCACATTCCTGCAGAGAAAAGCCACCCTTTAGAAAAAAAAATAATTGAAAAGACCACCCTTCAAGTATCCTAGTCCAGGAATGGGGAACATGTGACTCTTCAGATCAGGGGAGTTATAGTCCAACAACACTTGGAGGGACACAGGGTCCCAGTCCCTGCCCTGGTCCCAAGTTGTTTAAGGTTTTAACAACAAAACTGAGCCCAGAAACAAACTGGTAGCCAGTGCAAACTCTTTCATTATATTCAGGGATTCTGCTGCTTCATCCCCTCTGAACTACAGAGGAAGGTTGCAGCTGAGTGGTAGAGCATCTGCCTTGCACACAGAAGGTCATGGGCTCAATTCCTGGCATCTCCAGGTAGGGCTGGAAAAGACAACTGTCATTGTAAATGACACTGTGCTAGGTGGACCAAGGTTCTGAGTCACATTCCCATGTACCTAACTTCCAGACTACATGCTTTCTAGTGTTTTTACAGCCTGCCTTGCTGTGGGGGTGTCAGGTAACAACTCCCCCCTTATTGAGCCTAACTGAAAACACTGCAGGCTGGGTCTACTGGGATCATCCTGGCAACAGCTCCCTCCCACAGCTAAGAACCCCGCCCTCTGAATTGAAGGACTGGGATGCTGGTGACAATGATCCAGTTTGTTTTTAAAGATCTTCTGCACAGGAGGGAATGGGCAATTGTGTGATCAGTGTGCAGAGAAAGGCAGAGCTCAGTGGGAGTGCATACTGGCCTAAAACAAAGAAGGTGCTGTTCTCCCAGTAATGCTGATGCTTAAAATTGAAGCTAGCTTTGTCATAGTGTGTCATCAGAAGCTTTGAGAATCCTCCGCAGAGGCTGTTGAAGCAGCCAGAGCTTTATATTAAAAAGGTGAAAGACTCAGAGGTGACCTGCTAGAAAAGCACTCCTCAATTCTAAGCAAAAAATCCAGCTGCTTTATTTTTAAAGAAGCTCTGGATTCATCACTGAAAGGACCAAATGCCTGAAAGGATCGAATGCGCGTATGATGATCTTCACACAGTGGGGCAGGAAGCAAACCTGTTGCTTGGCAACACAGCTCTGAAGGCTTCCAATGGGCCAGAAGCTGATATTAGGCAATGTTCTCTGAGCAAAAGAGAAATAACCAGATTGGAAGAGAGGATGGCTTTAAAAGATGCTTAGATAAATCCAAGGAGGATGAGTCTATCAGTGGTCACTTGCCACATGGTGATGCTCTGCCTCTGCTGCTGGAGACAGAACGCCTCTGAATGCTTGCTGAGAATTGCAAGTGGGAAAGTGATGTTGCATCCAGGTCCTGCTTGCAGACTTCCATAGGCATCTTGTTGGCAATTGTGAGGAGAACAGGATGCTGGACTAGAGGGGCATTGGGCCTGATCCAACAGGGCTCTTCTTACGTTTAAAGGAACCTGTCCTCAAGAATGAGGAATGGGAAAGGGACGTCAACATATTCTGCATGGAGTCTAATAAGGTTTACATAGGAAAAGTAAAAAAAAGCACCCCAACACCAGCCCCATCCTTGTTAACCCAGGGCAGGCAATTCCAAATTCTGGGGTAAACCAGAGATAAGGAGTATTAGAAGAACAGGAGTCCCTCGAAGACTTAATGTTCTAGGAGAATGGTGTGGCAGCATCCCAGAGATGCACTTTGGCATGGTGAGATCAAATATGCAGACCCTCCAATGGGCGAACAACTCTCAGCAATCCTTTTGCAGAAACGGCAGGCCAAGTATAGACTTCAGGGCAAATTTCCCATGTCAACACCACTTTGCAAGTGACTATTCCTTAACTGAGAGAGATCTGCAGTTGGAAGTGTGGTTGAGAACACACTGACCTTCTTGAAGTTCCTTCAATTCAGGGACAGGGGTCCCCTGCAGGTGGGCAGGTGCAGTTGTGCTTATATCCAATGCACAGGCCTCCACATGCATCTAGTCGGCCAATGTGAGAACAGGGTGCAGGATAAAGTGGGTCATTGGCCTGATCCAGCTAGCTCCTCTTGCGTTTTTATGTTCTCAGGCCTGGTGGCCAAATGCCGCCCTCCAGGCTTTTCTGCTGCCCCTTGAACATGGCCACAGTGAAGGCAAAATGCTTGGGGACGTGAGAATGTGGTGGGTGGCAGGGGTTAAGCGGTGCAAGTGAGGGACTGTACAGCTCATGACTCTATATATAGGAGCTTGGCATCATCACATTTATATGGGAGCTTAGCTTGATCTCATTTGTTGCCTCCACCATCACTGCCCTTACAATAAAACACAATATAATAATTAAAAGCTAGAGGTTTGTTCAAACTAGGAATTAAACAATTATGTGAAGTAGTTAGTAAACATATGCACATTTATTTGCTTTGTATAATTTAATCAGAATACTAATTATGCTTTGCCTCAGTGATTAAAAAAACAAACGGCACAGGAAGCACAAAGATATAATGGCACAACTAGGCAAGAGCTCAGATGGAAAAGGTGGAATCATCTTTCAACGGGTACCCCTGTATAAATCAAGTGAAACCCTGTTCAGCACAATGGAGTAACTGCATGCATGTCACCTGGGTGTCCAGAGGAGAGGCATTAGCCCTAGTGCCATCACCTCTCAATAGTATCAATGTAAGTACTGTTTTCATCCTTCTTAACATCAGATCCCTCCTAATCCCCACTCTGTGATTCAGCTCAGCACTATCCAAATCCATCTGTACAGAAGCTACCAGAGGGTATAACCACACAGGCTCACACAGCCTTTCTCTCTTGGCTGCACTATTAAAAGGAGAAAGAAGGAAGATGGGACCAGGAAAGGCCTGGCAGGGCTATTATTATCACAACTCAGCAAACAAACATGGGATCTCCCCTTGATAGCTCAGCTCTCCTCTCTTATTGGTCTTAGCTACTCATCAGTGATCCCATTACACACTTAACCCTCTTGACTAAAGCCTGGCCTTGTATCTATTTATTGAGATTACACCTTCAGATTCTCCATCTCAGTTACCAGTGGAGGCCCTAGGTAAATCGGAGATTAAACAGAGGAAATTGATGGCTGAATGGAAGGGCAGAAGCAAGATGCCATGACTGTGAGGGGTGGATGTGGACTGAATCTAAGAAAACCGAAGTTTTGCGGGAGAGAAATATGTAGGTTTCAGTTAAGGCAGGGGTGGTAAACCTGTGATCCTCCAGATATTGTTGGGTTTCATCAGCCCCAGGCAGCCAAATCAATGCTCAGGGATGATGGGAGCAGGAAGGTCCAGAAGGAACACAGGTCCCTCACCTCTTAGTTATGGCGATCCAGCAGATGTGTTCAGTATAAGCTGTGTATGCCTTAGGAATACAGGGACTGGCAGAAGTGAATGCGGAACAAAGTACTGAAACACCAGGTGGAGCCTCAGCTCAAGAGTTAAGAACAGACTGAGCCCATTATGTTAATAAATGGTGCTTCCTGACGGGTGTTTATTATGGGATGAGTGCTCCTCCTGCATGGACTTTTTTCACAGTGTCCACACAACATCAGTGCTATCAATTTTTTGCCCTGATTTTCCCTTTCTGGTAAAAAAACAAAACAAAACAAAAAAACAAAAACCCTTGCTGCGCCTCTTGCCACCACCGGCAAAAAACACAAAACACACCAACAACACCAAGCCGTAATAGCCTCGCTCATCCTCCCACTGTGAGCCGAAAAAGGGGTGCTGTAGCTGCCTGCCCAGATCAGAAGATCCGACTTTCCAGATTCAGAAGAGCAGGAAAGGACTCGCCTCCTGTCTCTCCTGGCCCACCGTTCAGTTGAACTTTGAAACACCAACGGGAGGTGGGGTGGGCGGTGAGCAACCCTTTCCCCGTCCCTCCAGCGCCACGTGACTCTGGCGCCTAGATTCCACCCCACGTCCCTTCTCTCCTTTCCCGATGCCGGATCCCGGATCCCTCTCTAAGGAAGCTGGCGGCGCTGGGAAAAGGAAGAAATTAGAAGGAAAGCAGAGGTCGCGTGGAAAACCTGGATTGAGGTTGTAGGAATGGGCGCGCCAGCCAGCCTCACCTCGGTGCGCTCGGTGCCCGCGCCGCAGCATCCCTACGTGCGTTCGGCGTCACTCCAGGCAGCCTGGCTGACTCTGTGTGTGAGGAAGGGAAGAAACCCGCGAGAGCGCCCGGAGGCTGCACCTATTGAGCTGCTGCTGGTGGTTTCACAGCCGCGCTGTGGTTTCCCCCGGCGTTACGCGGAAGCAAAGCACGGTGCTTTTTATCTGGGGGATTTCTTAAGGCAAAAAAACTCCCAAATCCATTGTTAGCCAATGCCTTTATTAGGAGCGAACCAAAGGACCACAAAATGGCACAGAGTAGTGAACAAGCTTTCGAGTTCTCCGGAGTGCTTCAGCTGGCAAGGTGTTCCACGAAAAGCAGAAGAGACATTTATAGATCCAAGGCGTTTCGGATTCGGACCCCTACCGGTGCTTCGTAGGGAAAATTCGGAGGAACTGAGATTCAGCACTTAGATGGGCTAATGCTTCTTTTCTTATGCGTTGGGACAATAAATATTCCATTGCTTTTCACTTGTCCTCCCAGTTTTTGTTGCAGCTAAAAATGTTGCTATTAAATGTTGGGCGGTGAGAGGTTGGGGAAAGGCTTCTATTTTAAAATAGGCAAGTTATTAAAATGTGTATACGTGGCCCATTCACTCTATTTTAGGACTGCCCTGGAAGAACGTCTGGAAGCTGCTACTAGTGCAAAATTATTTATTATTATTATTATTATTATTATTATTATTATTTCCATTTCCATACCGCTTTATATTTTTAAGGGGGGAAATCTCAAAGCGGTTTGCAACCTACATTAAAACATCAATTAAAACAATCCAGAATAAAACATCACAGCAGAAAGTCAAATATGAAGTATACATTCAAAGCAACATAATTAACAGGAAACTAAAATATTATCTAAGAGATTTCAAAATAAAACAATACAAATGAGGTCAAGGACAGAATGCACATTTTAATGCAGAAAAGTAATCAAAAAATTATCTGGCTCCGCTTTCCTTTGAACCATATCAGTGAGGCTGAGAGGGGGATCTTGTCATCTGGGCCACCCAGAACCTCCATGCACACTGCCCTAGCTTGCTAACACAGAAGTTTGGCTTCTTCCCTGAAGGCACACTCCATTATTTTGAGACAAACAGGTGCCAACAGAACTCTGATCTCTTTACAGAGGAAGAACGGAATATAATGGAAAGTTAGTTTGCCTCCTTAAGGTCTGGGCACTTATTTTTAAAGAAGCTCTTGAATTCTGAGCCCTGAGGAAGCCTCCAGGAAGCCAAACAAAAGGAACAAACTTGGTGAGACTACGGGAGGCCCTTTATGGCAAGTATCCCTACTGGAAAACTTCCCCAAAAT